ACTATATTTTTAATTCAATATGAATAAAGATTAGTCAATATTTAAAGATGGATCATGCTCATTGACCTGCTTTGGTGCAAATGAAAGTGACAACAGGCGCATTGAAGAGGCAAAAGCAAGACAACCCCGCCAAAATGGAATGTTTTTACATGTGGTGGCCACAGATAAATGTTCTCTCCTGATCCTTCCGGACTGATTCTGATTTGTTTTTAATAGTTCCCAGCTTTTACTGTTACTTTCATCAACATGTGTCAGTGTATAGTGTTTATGTTAACTTCATGCTAACTAGTTAGCTACACTACGAGGCAGCAAAACAGTGCACCTTTAGAAGTTTTATTTTTTTTCCAGTTACTGTAACTTTTCTAATCAACTATAACCATTTCTATCTCCTTCTCATCACAAGGAAAGGAGTAAAATGACAGCCGACCTGTGAGTGGGGAACACAACACTGTGGCATATTGATTTGAGGAGAATGAAATGATGTTTGGACCTGGAAATGGAATTTACTTCACTGCTTAATAAGCAGAAAAGATCCTACTGGGGTATACCTCAGTGGAAGACTGATGGGCCTACATTTCACAAGGGATCCTAATGTCTGCAGTTATGATCACCTCTTATTCCTAGTGACATTCCAGTTATAAAAAAAAAAGGCCCATCATTTTTAATAAATTGGCCACTGGAATATGTTTGTGGTTTTGCAGAATAGGACGGGTGAGAATTTCAAGATGCAAATACATAATCTAATCTTTGAAAATGTGACTGGCTTCAGTGTGGCCACCTGTCTTTTCCCCCTTCTAGATGGGATCCAGTACTACTTTCAATTCAGCCCTCAGAGTTTTGAGGGCCCTTTACATCTCCTTGCTTCAAACGTCAGCCCATTCTCAAGTAGTTCAGCCAGACACATGGGAGTGTTGTGTAGCCTGTAGTCATAGCATGACATCTTCATTCTGCACAGATGAGGCCAGGCTGCAGACATCTCTCACTATTCAGAAGATTGTGCCTTTAGGTTAAAAAAAAAAAAGCAAGGAGTCAGACAGTAGCTGCACTCTCATCACAACCTCTATTCTTCCAGCCATTTTTTTCCATATTAAAAGTCAGTCAAACACACACACACACACAAAAAAAACTTATACACCTACAGGAAAATCACACAGGAGCACCAATAATAAAGTGTCATTATTTCTGACACTTGCTTGTGTTTGATAGATGTGTTTCTTTTCCAGCTGATGACATTTTATGGCATTATCATAGGAAATCCAATAATGTGATCGGCATCTTGGAGCCCTTGCCCCATGCAAAGTCAAATCGCTTGCCTTAAGATGGTAATAGAGTATGATCGAAACAGTCTGTCACCACCTCTCTGTTCACCCGGCCCACGCTCGATATGAGGGATGATCGGCCGGCACAGTTAAATGTAAATGATCTTAAATGTCTTTAGGTGAATTCATTGACTGATGCTTTTCAGCAAATAAAAGTGAAGGCTCTATTTGACAGTGCATCAATCTTTGCCACAACACCACAGCACAGCAAAATCATTTTACTGTCTACACATTTCCACGTGCAGCTGTTTCAGTATTTGCTGATGTAAACATTTCCAAAGACAGAGGCTTAAGAATTGACTGTGAGCCAGAGATGCAGTTCTGCTTGCTCCAGCAAGAAGTCGTTTTTCCACAATGTGCCATTTGGTGTCATGTATACACTGTTCTCTGCTGCCGGAGTTTCTGCCGTCTTATTCAAGGTTAGTGAACCGATTGTCACAGAAACTAAGCTGAACAACCTTCAACATAGACAAGACATGCTGTGGATGTTTCACCAGAGCATATTGTTACATAGTGCATGACAGTTTCAGACAATCAGATCCAATCTCCTGATACAAATCATTTGACATGACAGCAAAGTGTAACACCAAAGCTCTAAAACGCGTTCCGTCTTGTTCCCACTGTTGTGGCATTACTATTTCTTTTACTCAGAGAGCCAGTGGTGAGGGTACCTCTAAATCCCAGCATGTTGGCAGCCTGTGATTGAATGGACTGTACAAAGCTCAGTAAGCAATGTTGTGATCCCCTTTGAGAGCTTTCATTATGGAACAGCATATTGGATTCTCTTCACAGGTTGTCTATCTCTCCAGGAGTACACACACACAAAGCAGCATACAAGACAATATGTAGACAACGTGGTTATAAATCCTGTCTGATTCTCAGTGATTCTGTTTTTAACAGTGCAGACATAATAAATACTGCCTGATATTGCAGCTGTTTCACATGACCTCTACAGTAGGTGGTCTGCCCAAAGTTCAGCCAGGAAGCATGGGTGCAGGTGCTCATACACGTATCTAAAGACTTACAAACGGATCCAGTCACACAGATGGTGCCTTTCAGCTCTTTTCTGGCTGCTGTCAAATAGAGGTTTAAGGCCCAGTCACAACATTTAGAACAGTACATGATTCAGCTGGAATGTCTGCAATCAGTGCTGAATTAGGTCTGTGTGAAACAGAGACCTTGACAGACAAATCAAATCTGCATTGCCAACCAATTATTAATATATTTTAACCATGAATACATTGAGAAAGCTGCATACAGTTTTCTGCCAGTTTGTTTCAGTGGCCTGTGGCAGAGCTGCTAACTGTAAATAGGCCCCATCTCATTTCAAGGGAGCGATCTGAGTCAGAACAGGGTCTACACTGGGACTGAAAATTACCTCAGTGGCAACAAATACAACCTGTGTTGCACGATTATATCAAGATAGTGAATGCTTAAGTAGTTTCATTACATAAATCAAACTACTCCAGACCATTTAAGTTTAATAACTAATGGGTTGCATTAAAATTTAATCAGTGGTTATGAAAGATTTGCACAAGCTTCTTCATTTTGGCTGCATTTAAATAATGTCATTTCAACCCTGGGAAGAACTCGAAGGGTCCAGAATATCACTAAGTAGTGGTTGACAATGATGGTTGATAGTACACACATTAAGATGATATTACTGGTCACTTGCATACTGTTTGTGAAATGCAGCTCACCTGATTATCGTTGAATATTTGGAGCTCAGCATTTAGTGGTTATCATTTGATTTGTTAGGCAAGGCAGTATTCACACAGAGGCTCCTATTGAAACTAAATAGGCACTGGTCATTAGAAATAATTTATATTTCCTTTCATTTCCAATAATGAAACACATTGTAATGATTTAATATATCTGAGGCTCCAAGTCTGTGTGGCACTGACAGTTGTTCCAACTTTTACCATGCCACCTTCAATTTCTCCGCTCATATTAGTGTTTTAGGAATAAAATATGTTATTTTTACTGATCCAAATGTTAGCAAGCTTTATTTAATCAGGAAATCGTATTTAGATCAAGACTTCTTTCGCAAGAGAGGCCTGAGAACAAAATCCCCAGGATGCACATCCACAGGATCATAGCACGACTCATAACAGCCATCACACCCACATTCACCCACCCACACACACACACACACACACAAAGAACCCAAAACCAGTCTTCTCCCATTTGGAGATGGTGTCCTTTAGTATAGCGAGGTCCATAATTATTGCATGAGTGCAGTTTTTCTAAGATGTACTTTATGCATTTTTGCAAAATTTGTCAATTCTGTGACTGCCAGCTAGTCATTTATCACTTAAACTGGTTAAAATATCGTACGTCTTTTACAGAAAGATTATCAGCTTTTCTGGCATCAAAATTATTTTGATTGTTGTCAGTAGACATTCAACATGCTGTGGCCAAATCAGCAGTGTTGGGGAAACTATGCAAATAATCAATTACTTCACACTAGAAGAGGTTAAATTACAGCAAAACTACTCCAGAGACAAATGTTTGGTATACTAACTTAGAAGTACTGTAGTTCAAACTACTTAGTAAAAAAATGATAAAACTGACAATGTACCTGTGATACAAAACTATAACATAAAAAAACCTCACACGTCAGCAAAAAATGCCACTCAGTTGAGTTTATTTACCTGAGGGGAAAAAACTGTTCCTGCTCCGCTCATGTTGGGACCTTTACGATGTATAACTGTCATCCCTATCTTCTCCCACCTGCAGTCATGCTCTGTGTGAGGGGTGTGGTAGTGCCCTACAGACAGGATCTTTCACAGGAGAGGGGGTGTTCCCTCTCTTGGCCTGTTGCCTGTGGTGTCTGGGTTGTAAGCTGAGATGTTCTATTGCAAATAACAACAGCTCTTAGAAGGTGAAGCCTATACCAAATAGAACACTGATTACGTATAGACATAACCCAGATGCTATGAATACAGGCACAGTCCTCTAAGCTGATAGCCCCCGCTGACTCCCCCTCTGCCAGCCAAGACAAAATGCTGATTTACTGGGCGCAGACCTCCGGTCATATATATACAGTAAAAGTCTTCATGACTGAACGTGTGTGGGATTAACCCAATAGTGACAGCTCTTGAGGGCTATGCCTGTACTCACAGAACCTGGTGCTATGCCTGTAGGTAACCAACGTTCTAGTGCCAACCTGTGGTCACAGCTGATAAACTGTTTTTGTTGTGCTATGTATCTGTAGCAGTGCAATACAAAGTGAAATCAGATACAAACAGCACATAGCTCATATAAAATGACCTGAAGAGATTGTATTAATGTTAGGATTTTATTTTGATATAACTACCACTGTTGGTTCCTTTGAAGACATTCTGTCAACAGTTTGTTGATATGTCTGTACTTATTTTTACTAAGTGGTTAACGTCGCTGTCAGAAATTCCAGAAATGTCAAACTTGCCATTACAAGGTAGAGGAACGGGTTTCCCCCACTTGGATGTTCCTAATTACAGTTTAAATTATGTGACTTGAACGCAGCATTACAACACGTGGGCGTGGGCCCACCCATTTGGGTTTCAAACACACAGCCATACTCAGATCAAATCTGAATTTAATGAGTGAACGTGCTTGGTACCTTTATTATTATTATTATTGTAGTCCTTCGGCTCTATTGTTGTTCCACACTCCAGCCCAGCAGGTGGCGGTAATGCACCTTAAGTTGGCAAACCGCCAATAAACATAACAAGAAGAAGAACGTGCTCGCTAGCACAGTAACATTTAATAATAATGCCATAAAGTGCAACGGAGAACAATGTGAGCCTGTCAAGCTAGTTTAGCTTAGTTAGCATACATTTAAAGGTAAAAGAAAACACTTCGCTTATAAGACAAGGCAGTAAGGATCAAAAAGGGGTCAAAGTCACTCTTCATCGAAGTTACAGCTTGCTGACCAGCCCCAAACCACCCCGTGTGCCATCAGATGTTTCCCCTGGTGGATGTTAATGGAGACACCTAGCTACTCCGTGATCTCCCATGACAGGTGTCCTACGGGTCCTGGTCACATACATTGACACATGGTAGGCTGCAGTTTATTACTCTCACCGTGGCATAAAGCCACGATGATCAGCGCATCAGTGGTGATGCGCAGACTGAACTTTGTCCTTGTTTCCCCTCGAACAGAACGGAGTGAGGTGAGCGTCAACGTGCAGTCACCACCGGTAAGCCATTTGCATTCTCGGTCCCGGCCTGTTTTATGCTGCCATCTGCCTGTATGATTTGAGGCTATGCTGCCGGTTTTATTAAGTGCACGGTTGTTAGAGTACCAGATAATGCTGTCCAAAAGCCGTCATACCCTGTCAGGTGTTTCCAGACCAGGGCTCTACTTCACATTTAGATTTAGGGGCACTTACGTAGTTTGCGTAGAGTCTAAAACCGCCTTAAGTCATGTTTGTGTACTTGACCTGGCGTTATTAGGTTCCAAGTCTAGTATTGATTAGATCTTTGACATTATTGTCAGTTACACAGTGAAGCATGGAGTTTGTCCATAGTGGCCATATTGTGGCAGTAGGCTGTTGCTATTAAAGAGCTTCCTAGGAGTCTTACTCACATTAGAGATTCAAGCAAGGACACAGCAGGCAAACTAGCATTTCCTCAAGTCTGCAGAGTTAATGGAAGCAAGATTTTAAAATGATTTCCACTCATGGAATAAGCAAATAACGTGAGCACAGTGATAAATGAGACCAATTGTAGGCAACGGGGTATTATAATTAAGCAGCAAGTAGGCCTCATTGTTAAGTCAACTCTCCATTGCAATTATGCTGCTCTATTCATGTGTAATGTAATGGCTTGATGACAGTTCTTTGTTGGCTTACAGTGGAGGCATAATTTTGTCCTTTCATGCACACAAAAATGGCACATCTCAGTTTTCAGTTTTGACTCAAAAAACACTCATCCTGTATTATAAGGTAGAGGTTACAGCCTGATGACTCCATCCTTCACGCCACTTCCATGGCTTAAAACCAAATACACCGATTGAGACAGAATTAGCTGTTTGTTCCTAGTCTCAAGTTAAATCAAGTCATTTATGTTGATTATCCAACTGTCTTTTTGTTCTAAATGTTCTTTGTTCCAGTGAGAATATCAAGTAACCCGAAAGACACTGTTTCTGCTGTTCTCATTCAAAAACAGGTAGGAACCTATTAAATTTGGAGACCAGGGTACTGTTATGTCTTATCAATACCATCAGATTTTGGCCTATTATGGCATTTATATGGGAAAATGTTTAATGTGAAAGATCATGAAGATCTCAGAGTCCCCTCAGAGTGGCTGTGTGAGCTTAATGGACTGGCTAGGAACTCTGTGCTTCAGTTAGCACTTGTCAGGTTAAATTCAGCTATAAGCTTATATAAAGTATAAGCCTTGTTTCTAAGGTGTTATAAAAATATCAACCTGATTATTTCAGTTAAAGACTTCAACATTTAGATTTCTAACTGCACTATTGAAAGTAATGACAAGATTCTAGATATTGCTTTAAAATCTGCCAAATGTTGTATCTGACTGTATGTCCTTCACCTGTGTGATGTAACCAACACATCCCACTTTGAAAATTACATTACACATACAATGCAGAGTCGGTGCCCCATTGGCACAGAGCAATTACAAAGTGCACACACACAAAAAGCTGCAGTCCACAGGCAACCTAAGAGAGACAAATTACCACCCTGATAAAATCAGACTTGACATCATTTAATTAATTCCAGTGCATATTAGCATTTTTTATTGTGATTTTTTTCCACCTCTCTCTTTTTGCTGTGCGTCTGTCCCCCTCCCAGCCTCGTCTCAAGGAAAACATCAGTTTGAAAAATGATCAGTCTTTGTTCCTGTCTGTTCTTTCAGGCACTTCCCTTCTATATCTTTCTTTCCTCTTTTAATCTCAACAGTGCAGTTGTGTCCCTGTATGATTTTGTCTAACTGCTTTTTCCTCCCAAATGATCTTTGAAGGGTCAGACGTATATGCTAGTCCATGGTTCGTGTCTATGTCAGGTTTATTTTCAAGGAGCCTGTGTAGCTACTCAGTCTCAGTAGTATTCAGTTGTCTGACTTGCTGTAGCTTACAGCTGGTAGCTGTAGCTAACACATGGCGGTTACAACACTGGCCATAGTCATCAATCATAATGAAAGGAATATCTCACCCAGTGCGACAGTATGTCACTTTTCTCTTGAACTCCTAAAAACTTAACTGGCAGATTTGTCAGACAAACATAAACCTTGCTGTTCACTATGAAATAACTGCTAAATGTGAGAATAACCTTTAATTGCAGTGTTTTATAGCTCAAGCATCGTGGTGCGCTAGTAGCGGCTGATAACTACCGAGCAGTAGCAGTGTGTGGGCGTCGATCCTAAAATATCATTACTTCCGATCCCAACAGTTCCTGTTCTAGGATGAACGTTAAAAGATTGTTTTCTAAAACCAGAAGGCTAATTTGAGGTAAATGTATATTTTATCTTCAATAGGCGACACAGTAGATGTAACTATATGCAGTTGCTGGGTGGGGGGGGAAGTAAACAGAACCAAAATGGCATGTACAGTATGTAGTACGGACATAACCCACTGCCAACAGTTCAGTATCTGGACTGCAGACACGTCCCTTAATAGTATGTGAGCAGGGTGGCACCATTTGTTGTTAGTAAAAGCAACAAGCCCTTACAGGCTAGATACACCTTATAGCCTCCATCAGTCTCTTTTGTCTGAACGTTTCCCCCTTTTTGTTGCACAAAGTATCGGTATTGGTGTCAGCAATACAAGCCTATATTTTACTTTGTATCAAATTGGAAGGGAAATAAATGGAATCACACATCACTACTGAGCAGTGTTAATTTTGGCATCTGAATATGATTTGGTCTTTTGATGAAAATGCTTGGAAAAGGTGATGTATTTGTTCACAAAGTAGCTGTGTGCCTCTGCTCTAAAGCAACACAAGTGATTTAGAAGCTGGATTCAGTCATTGGATATTTTTATTTAATAGTTTATTTGACAGGGACGGTGGACAACCAGCCCCAGAATTAGCTACAGGGCTAAATTTCATCTGTATTCCCTTGATGACATTAACACAACACATCAAGCAGCTAATTAAGCTTTTGATCAAGAGATTTTGGGCAGTGGAGGAAACTGATCAGGAGCTATAGTTTGCGTTTCCACAGATGCAGCGGGTCGCTTACGATGACAATCACTTCATGTCTGTTTGTCTGTCTTTCACATTATGGTTTAGTTTTTATTTGTCGACAAATGTTCTAAAACATCTTGTCATAAAGTAGTTCTTCTTATGACATGTTACTTTTTATTGAGTCTTGTTTTTGTCATGAAAAATAGGTTGTCAAATATTTTTTGTCATAGATTTTGTTGATAAAATTAACACTGAGACCAAGGGTTGCTTTGTGAATCTTGGTCTAACGTCACGCTATGAATGCTGTCACATATGTTTTATTCCTTGAAAAATGTAGCATATAGTCATATTCCTACCTAGTTCCTCTGCTCCTCTACTTGTCTTCTCTGTTGTTTTGTTCTCAGTTAATCCCCGCCTATGCACACAAAGTCACGACCAGACACTCTTCCATCTACTCGGCACCGTCCAGGGATGATGACACTATCTGTTTTCTCCCTAGCAAATGAAGCCTTTAAATTGCAGCACCATAAACAAGTACCTGATCAAAGCTCTGTGTCACAGATTATCTCCTTCAGAAACAATGTACACTAGAATTGACACAGGTAAAGCTGCAAAATGTCAAGAAAACTTGGTTCTTCATTGGTTTTCAGATCAACTGTAGTACAAACACGTGAAAGACACGGTCTGGTATTTGAAACAAAACGTCAACAGCCGAGAAGTGTTAGGATTTTGAAAAAGCTTAGAGGATGCTGTCTGCTGTTAGTAGCAAACACACAAATATAAACTGCACAGGCTTTTTGCCAAACATGCTGAACTGTCACTTTCTCTGCTTGCTGCTGTTTGCAAAGACAGGTTATAGAGCTTTACCAGCTTTGTACAGTATGACTATGATTACATACATGGTATAAAAATGGGGAGGCATTTTTAGAGTATTTTAAGAAGACAGTATTTGTCCATATGCACTAGGTGTCATGGTAAAATTTCCGACAGTCAATACTACCGCTTCAAATTAT